GGGAAATTTTCGTAAATATCACTAAATTTGAAAATCAAAAAAAAAAAATTGCCATTTTCACTTTTTGTGAGCAAAAAAATCACTTTTTGGGTGGAAAATGTCCAAATTACCCTTAATGACGCATTTTTAGGAGCATTTAATATTTGATGTGAATGTAATTAATGATATGATGTGATGATTTAATTTAAATAATATAAAAATTGTTTATATGTATATTATATTGAGTAATATAAATTTTGTAAAAAATAAAAAATAAAAGAATTTGGAATTTTAACATAACCACACATCTTCTTCTCATTAACAAACTCTAACTTTTTCTCCATTTTCTTCATTTGTTTGATCAAGAACACGTTACTATTGAATTCATCATCCATTTTGAGAGGTTAGCAATTACAAATTGTTTATAATTTTATCTTATAGATTACTATTTTTTAGATGTTAAATACAATATGGTGAAATGTAATGGGAGAATTTTTGAAACTATTATTTATTAATTTGTTTGGTTTTTGAAATATTTTTGAAAGATAAAAATACAAATATCTTATAAAAAAATGAAGGATTTCATATTTAATGAAGCATCGAGTTATTTATTAATGTAAAGATATTTTCATGTTGTACTTGAGAATTGATTATCACCATTAATGCTTTCAATAATTTCTTCAAATGTACCAAATACATGTTTTCAAGTTTCCCGGCAGTTCTTACAGTTCATCGTAGAATAGTTCTGTTGAAACAGTCGATTTAGACAGGTGAATGATAGGAATGTAAAATAAGTATTTTACATCTTTATTTAATGCGCTCATATGACTATTTTATGCCTAAATGTACTTAGTATTCTCATATTTTGGTTTAGGTGGCAAGTTGATGGATATAGCGTAATTTGGAAGAAATATGTGAAAATGGACCAAAGTGAAAGGAAANACATCTTTATTTAATGCGCTCATATGAATATTTTATGCTTAAATGTATTTAGTATTCTCATATTTTGGTTTAGGTGGCAATTCGATGGATATGGCGTAATTTGGAAGAAATAAGAGGAAAATGACCAAAATGAAAGAAAGGGAAAGTTCGGGATTGAATGTTAAGAAGAATATTTAAATAGATTGAATGCAACAATTGGTGCTTGTATTATCTAGTTCATCGATTTCTCTATTGTTTAAATCTGCTATTAAATTGAATCTTTAGCACTGGTCTGAGATTATTTGATAATTATGGTTAATTAAAACGCTGGTTTCTGATTAATTAAAATTAAGGAGAAATAGAAATTTATTCCAACGATGAATATTGTGAATGTGGATCGATTATTCTTTGTGGATTGATGAATGATTATAAATCTTCAATGGTGGAAGTTGATTTTGATCAATACTCATTTCATTGATTTAATACAACTTGTTAATTTACATTGTTATTTGTTATAAAATTGATTTCGTTATAAACAAAACCCCCCAATCGTTATACGAAACATAAATTTTTGAATTGCACACTCATCGTGAGATCGACCTTTACTTCCATTACTACATTAGTTTTAGAGGTTTAAAAACTATTTTTGGGTGCCTACGAGAGCACACCAGTGAACTGTCGAACCCAACATTTATGAACTGTCGAAATAGACAATTTAACTGTCGAATTCGACACTTGAAAATTGTTGACCGGTCCTTGATTTCACCTTCTGCTACTCTATAGATTTTAATATTCGAAAGTTCTATGGTCATATTATTAAATGTAAACATATTTATTGTGCGAAATTCTTACTGTTTCAATCCCAACATTTCAGGTATGAGTAATCATTTGAGATTCAACGTGTCGTATGGGGGGCAGTTTGTTCATGTGGATGACGATTGGAAGTGGAGAGAGGACAAAATCACTTCCATTTTAGTGCTAACAAGTATTACCCTAACCATACTCGTGTTACGATTGAAGGACAAATTTGGTATTCTTGATCCCCATACTCAAATTGAATTGAAGTTCAAAATCCCAAACTTAAATATACCTCCGGTCGAAATACGTAAAGATGAAGACTTAAATTGGTACATATCAGTTCATAATGAAACTGTCATCTGCGTTACTGTTTCGAAAACCGAGCTCCCAAGTGTTGGCATGGGGAGGGATACAAGTTGTCCAGATCGTTCGGTTTCCGTCGCGGATGTTCACCAAAATGTACAACATGAGGAGCTCAATCATCAGCATAGTGTCTCAAACAATAATGCACCCGAAACTTCAATTTTTGTTATTGGGACTGCACCTTTAGATGAAAACTTGGACAACCCATTACATGGTACAGAAGCTGACGTTGATGAGCAAATGTCCTCACAGTCCAAGACTTCGAACAGATACGAATGAATTACCAGAGTGGATACATCCGATCTTGCCGAATGACAAATATTTTTCAGCAAGAAAGAGTTGTACTCGAAAATTCATATACTTGCTTTGCAAGATAAGTTCCAATTTAAGGTCAGTAGGTCAAGCATGAAAATGTTAACTATTGTATGCGCTGACAATAATTACATGTGGATGCTACGTGCTTCGACTGTGAAAAATTCTGCAGTCTTTATGATCTGTAAATTCAACAATATGCACACATGTACCTTAGATTTCCGTCGCAACGCACATCGATAATACCAAAACTTGAAATGTTTTACCTTTACATATTATTGTACAATATTTAATCGTCTTGACGTTGTCGTTCTTTTGACTTGTATCTTGATTTGCATCTTTTGCAAATCTTTAAGTTCCAATCGATCGTCGTATGCAAATCGCTATCGTCTCGAATTTTCGTGTCGTCAATTCTATTTGTTTTCAATAATCGCTAAATACATTTGAAATCAATTTGTTAACGATAAATGCAATTTTGTTTGTAATAATCAAAACGAGCCGTCAACCATAAATCATCAAGTTGGTCATAACTGGACTACATGTTCGCACCCCACTGTAGCACAACTGACGTAAGCAAGCTTTATCTCCGGAAGTCGTTGAAAGAGTATGTTAAATGTTTCCCTTGGCATTGTACAATCTGAAGTTATGTTATCATTTTATTTTCATTATCGTTTGCTGACGTTATGCTCGTATGTTCATATATTATCATTTTGAACTTGTATTATTATTTCCAACTTCTATTATTATTATTATTATTATTATTATTATTATTATTATTATTATCATCATTCCATTATAGTTTGCAGACAGTAGAAGACATGTTGAAGTTCACAACCAAAATACAGATCCATTGCCATAATACTGCATAACATCCCGACGGTTAATCTGTCGTTCCCGATAGATTGTTTCTGTCATTCTCAACGGTTGGCACTGACACAAATGTAACTACACATGAGGCATAAGGGACATGCTGTTGTTGACTCTTTCGTAAAGACTATTACCAAATTCATCCCTCACAAAAGTAAATACAAAATAACTACATTTAGTTATTTGTACAAAACCAAAATACGGATCCTACACATTAACTAAAACGTTCAATCAAAATTGAAATCATAAATTGAATTTCAGCCAAATCTTATTCTCCTTAAAATGCTTATAATTAATAAACATTACTAAATTTCTAGTTGCAAATACAGTATATATCACACGTGCTATTAACGTGTTTAATATACAAATTCTTAAAAGATTTGTTTCTCCTTAAAATGCTTATAATTAATCAACATTACTAAATTTCTTGTTGCAAATACAGTATATATCACACGTGCTATTAACGTGTTTTATATACAAATTCTTAAATGTTTTGGAGTTATTTGGGGTTGTTTGTTAATTACGTTTTGTCCCTCCTAGAGCTAGTTTTGTTTTTTATATATTTATTGAAGTTCTTATATATGCAGTAACAAAATATAATTACAATAACTCCAATTAGTTTGGTACCAAAATCAAAACAATTCATTTTTTCCGTCGATGCACAAAATTCAAAACAATAAAAGTTCAAAAAAAATCGACAGACATTTCACAAATAATTGCTTACCTCGGCTGCAAATTGGCATGATTCATTATCTTCCAGCCACACAGTATATTGAGTGTTTGAATGATGGCTTCAAATGTATTTTTGGTGGTCTTCGTTGACAGTGGACGTTTTCGCGGTGGTAGTCGACAAG